TTGTGAAATTTCTCATTTCAGGAAACAAATCTCCTTATTGCACTAATTATTTCACAGAAACACAGTTTGCAGCCAGAAATTAGACATAGTGCCTATTTAGAGCCTTGCGACGTTTTCTCGATTGTAAAAAAGTGTTCTGGCAGAAAAACTGCGGACATGAGAGGATTTTTTCCGCAAAATGACATATTTCACGAATTTTTTGTTCTTGCTTCAACGTCTAAGATCAAAGCCTTCCAAAGTAACATATGGATTTTTGTTGTGTAAATAAGTTCTACAGATTTTTTTCGGCTAGCTAGTGGCACTCTGCGATTTACTGGCACCAAACTCAAAATCGCAAAATTTGAAGCCCCATATTCGAGAGCTTCGTTCTTGATGTCCAGCTCACGGAATTTTATGCTTAAACATTCATCATGAAGCGTAAGGCTTCTAATATTTTTAGCATACAAGATTGTGAATTTAGATTTAGTCTTTGAAAAGTTATTGAATTTTGTTTGAATTACGCAAGAACTTTCGTGCCAACCTAATACAGGGTGTCCCAAAAAAATGTATCGAACGTTAGATCGTTAATATCTCTCTTCCGAAGAAGTCTTTTCCCTTGCTTCAGGTACCAATCTGTAGAGCTGGCTTCAACTTAAATTTGCATTATAGAAAGAATCACTCATCTCTCTTCATTACTGTAGGATTACGGTAGAAACTTGAAACATATGGTGTAATGTGAAAAAAGCTGCCGTTTTAAAATCTTTCAAAAAATTGTGAAAACTTGTGTAATAGGGTTTTTATGGACGCTGAGTTCAATACTCGACTATTTACAAGATTACGAAGCTTTCTAAACGGTGTAATCGTACTTTTTAAGAACATTGAAAAAATGGTTACCTCTTACCTGGCATAACTCTTCAATGAAGCATCATAATAAGTTGGGAACTTTACAGTCATAATCAGCAACTCCAATTAGCCCAGTGTAAAAGCATTCCGACTGTTTCGTTTCCTTTCTAAAGCAAAATATGGCCTTTCATTGCTTAACACCCTCTTTGAAGTTTCTACCGTAATCCTACAGTAATGAAGAGAAATGAGTGATTCGTTCTATAATGCAAATCTAAGTTGAAGTCAGCTCTACAAACTGGTGCCTAAGGCAAGAGGAAAAATTTTTCTAGAAGAGAGATATTAACGATCAAACGTTCGATACATTTTTTTGGGACACCCTGTATATTAGATGGGTCCGAAAGTTCGTGCCGCTTTCCGGGCCCATGCTCAGACCACTTAAAATAGTGATAGACAAATGGAGTAAACAATGTTTGATGTAGAATTTCCTTCTCTTTCTAGCAGTCATATTTTCATTCAGATTCCTTTGACCTCCCTCGAATAGTCATCAGAATCTCCAACCCATGGTTTCTGCCCATCCTAAGTTTGGCATTTTTCAAAACTTTTTCGACTTTTGGACTAACTTTGATAGCACTTGGATAGAATAAACAAAATGCAGTACGATGCATTTTTTTGGCAACTCTAGCTGGCTTCTCAAGTTTTCCGAAGATTTTTTTTGACGCTCTCAAATTCCACATTTGGGCCCAGTTCTAACAGAATAACAAACTGCCACAACCAACGTCATTTGATACAGCTTTTCCTGCTCTTTCTAACTTTCTGATTTGACTAATATTTGACGAAAAAAACAGTATAATTCTTGTTCTCAGACTCGTCCCAGCCTGTACCTAGAAATTTCGGAATCCATTATTTTGAAGCGTTAAACGCTCAGTTGCTTACTAAAATTAACGATGAATCGTAATGTTTTTGGAACCTCAAAGTCCGAGGATTTATCAGTGTTTAAAGCGGTTGTGTATTTCACGACTTCGCAAAAGTAACTTTGAAAAAATTATTTCAAAAATACTAAAAAGCCAATTGAAAAGATCAAAATAGTTTATTGTATCGCATTTTGTTTCCATCCAACCGTTATCAAAGCTAGTACAAAAGATAGAAAAAGAAATTTCAAAAGTAGCCAAACTTAGGATAGCCTGAAAACTATGGGATGGAAAATTTCGATCATTCTTTGAGCGGACATTGAAGGGCCTGAATAAAAGCATAACAGTTAGAAATAGGAAGTAATTCTGCATCAAACACTGTCACTGTTTGGATCATTTGTCCATCATTACTCTCAGTGGTTCGAGCATGGGTTTGAAAAACGGCACGGACTTTCGGACCCACCTAATATTTTTAGATTCGAGGGCTACCATGTATATAAAATCTACTACAATTACATAACTTTCCAAACAAACTTTTTGAATGCACTATACATGTCTACTTCTGGCTTGTAAGCACACCTCTCTCTAAGGTAAAAGCCTGCCAAAACTGCGACGAAAGTGGCGGCACTGAAACTTTAGCCTCATCAATAGAGCGTGGTACTAATTTTGATGAACCGCTAAAAAAACAAAACAAAAACTAGAACAGAATATTGCTCGAAAGCCTTACAGCTGTTAAGTCTGCTTTACATTCTTTTCTTTTGCTTTTCAATTTTATTTTAGCGACTTCTACATTACTGTCAGAAGTTGATTCCAGTTTTCAGAAGCACCTGCAAATTTGCAATTTTTTCGGATTTTAAGTGAAAGCTACGCGGTTACCGAGTTTCTCAGCTGGCTCCATAGTTATAACCAAAAAAGACGGTTTTGACAGGGGAATGTCACTTGGTCGATGTGACGATTGGGAAAATGATGTACGGAGCTTGAAAACGCCTTTTCTTACTAATGAATTTCCAGATATGACTGTTCTTTCACCAAGCCATTAGAACCTATAACAGTTATCCACAAACGATTTGTTTAAGAGCGTATTTCATCGAGTAGACCCATACATGCAAATTATCGCTTTTTGAGTCTCTTGATTTGCTCATATTTTTAAGCTTCGATTTGTCAAACATTTCAGTAATTTCCAAGTGATCCCAAAGATCCACCATTTAGTGATAGTCTTAGGTTAGCCACAAGATTACATAGAAAAAGGATACAGAATCAAAGCAAAACTAAGCAGACAGGTATTTGTGGAAACTATTTTTCACTTAGAGGGATGATAGGAGAACTGCATTGTTTAATTTTTTTATTCACAACAGCAAGTAGAGTATACACCCCCAAACGTCAAAAATCTTCGCAATGTCCTAATGAAAGTTTACACAATATTTGATTATTTGATATAAAGGACACAAAACTTTGCAACAATACAAGTACTGCACAGTTCTTGCAAAGCCTGATAAAAAGGGAAGTGCACGAAGAAATACAAGATCTATACAGCTGCTTCGAAACAAGCATACAACAAAACGGAACAAAAAGCATTGAGACAAAGTCATGATTATAAACATGATAGTGGTCCACAGCAGTTTTAGCTGCAAAAGTGAGATGACCAGTTAAAACGAAAAAGCTATTCATAAACATACCGGTGTGCATGCTCATATAATTGTAGCTGCTTGCCTATATAATCTTTAAGCTTGTCAAAGAGCAAGTCATCACTTCCCAATTGGACATCGAACTCGCAGCCAGCTATTATACTATCTAAATCGGGAGGTCCCGAAGACTACCAACAGTGCTAAGAAATTTACCTAATATCATTTTTGGCACAGAAGGCAGCATTTCGTGACTCACTTCAGTATAGTAGTATACTCCTGTCGGCATATCATCCCTCTCTTGGTATACCTACAATCACCGATGCCTGGAGTCAAACAGCGTTT